GTTGGCCAACCATTATTGGTAATACATGCTTCTATTCTTTGAGGCATACTATCAATTAATTTTAGATAAGTTTCTTGTGGAATTTTTTTCCATTCTTCTTTTAGTTGTACTTCTAAATCTGCAAGTTTTTTAGGTAGATCTGAACGGTTATGCAACAAATATTCAAGATTATCTCAAAGATGCTCAATAGGATTCAAATCTGAAGATTGAACAGATCAGTTAATTAACATTTTAATTTTTTTTTTTAGCAACCCATGCTTTAACATCATTAGCTGTGTGAATAGATGTATTATCATACTAAAATTTGTAAGATCAATTATAAAACTTTGAATCAATAAATGGCAATAGGTTATCATCTAAGATTTTTATATAATCATGTCAATTGATTATTCCTTTTATTTTCACTAAAGGATCCAATCCTTTGCTTGAAAAACATCCCCAAATCATGATTCCGCCACCACCATATTTAATGGATGGATTCAGGTTTTCAATATTAAAATGAGTGTCTGATTTACATCAAACTCGAGAAGGATTATCATTATGAAAAAGAGTAAACTTTGATTCATCGCTCTATATGACATTTCTCCATTGTTATACTGTCTAATTTTATCTTTCTAAGCACCATTCTAGTCATTTTTGGCATTAATTTTCATTTAAAAATGGTTTTTTTGCAGCTCGATAAGAATTGTATCCAATTTGATGCAAATTCTTCTGAATTGTTTTGGTATAAATATCTTGACCAGTTGTTGCTGAAAATTTCTTTTGTATTATATTAACTGAAGCTTTATTATTTTTTTTAACAATTTTTTTTTAAATTTTGCAATCTTTATCATCAAGTAACGAAGGCCGACCACTTCTTTTTTGCTTAACATGTCATTTGAATCTCTATATCATTGAATTATTGTTCTAACTGTGGACTCTGATCGATTCATAATCCTAATAATATCAGATTTTCTGTGGCCACTTTTATATAGTCTGATTATTTATGCTTGTTTAATAATGGTAAGTTCAGGATTTTTACCCATTTTGTTAGAAATAAATTGTTAGATTGATTATCATTACATTATATTTATTTATGTTTATAATTATTTTTATTTTGTATGTGTTACAATAACAAACAGTTATATAAACAAGAATCAGGGCTTTCAATTAGTACTAAAATCAATTGATTTTATTATATACAATTTTGAATAAAATTCAAAAAACTGATTGTGCAAACTTATTTCCAGGTAGTATATATAAAATTAATAAAATAAAATAAATAAAAGATAGGTGTGCAGACTTTTGATATCCATGAGATTACGTCAAACCATTAAAAGTCCTGTCAGTTACGTCAAATTGTCACATGTCTTCGTAAATGACATTTGACTTTAGACTTGACGCAACTTTAATTGACGTAAAATGTGACGTGACTCATATAAGTCATGTTACTTTATATCATGATTTTGTGTACCGAGATCAGAGGTTTTTTTATTGTCAGCTTCTAGTTTGTTTCAAAGTTTTCCAATGTATATGCAATGTCTTCAACCAATATAACTACTTATTTCGGTATTCCCCCTACTCTATCAGATTCCAATACCAACCCAACACCAGTACCAGCACTAACACCAGCACAACCGCAACCACCATCGCAAAAAAGAGTAAGAAAAGGTGGGCAGAATTTTGATGAAGTTTGGACCTATTTCATTATGGGTCAAGAATTAAACCCAGGACATTACAAGGCGACTTGTTACCATTACAATAAAGTTTGGGCAAGAGGAAAACCTAGTGTCTTAAAAGCTCATCTTGCAAATGAGTGTTTGAGTACACCTGAAGATATTAGTAAATATTGGCGTAATAAGCTTGCAGAAAATAATATTACTTATACTAAAACATTTTGCGTACAGTCAAACATTGATCAACATTTTAGATCATCTCAACCACTACCTTCACAAGTTAGTAATCGTATCAATCAGTCTCTTTTAAAGGCTTGAACTATGAGTGGTATACCATTTGAAGTGATCGAAAATCCCTTTATTGTAGATTTATTTAAAGAACTGAATCCTACTTACATTTCACCATCGCATACAACGTTATCTGGAAGATTATTAGATGAAGAAGTTGTACGCGTACAAAATAGCATTGATATAGATTTGGAAAATGCCAAGCATTTAACATTAAGTATGATATATTCAAATTAAAATTTTCTAATTTATATTGTATATATTAATATTAATATAATT